CGGAGGGGAGCGCGTCCCCGGCCTCTCCGGCCCGGCCGGGGGCTTGGCGAAACTTGGCCGGCGGAGAGCTCGGTGCTCCTGCCGCCACTGCGGCAAAACTCAGGCTTCCCCGGGACTGAATCCTCTCATTTTTATCCTTTGTATTTTTAAACTACCCGGCAGCCCAAAGGCAAGACTGACTCCCCCCCCCCTCCGCTTCTAAAGCGCTTACGGGAGGTCGGTCAGCAGCTTCTCGCTCCGGTCCCGCTTTTCTCCAAAGGCACCTTGGGCCTGCTCCTCCTCACGGAGGGAGCCTTGCCTCCGGCTAATGAAAGCAGCACACAAGAAATCTCACTCTTGGGCTGCTCCCAGTCCCGTTGGGAGGACTGGAAAGTACCTCCACAAGCAAGGACTCCAGTCCCGACCCTTGGAGTGGCGGGTCACCGTGCTGAGGAGCAGCCGGCGCAGCTGCAGGCACCGTGCTTCGCCTGGAGCAGGAGAGTGGATGCCTGCGGTGGGGCCACGGAACCTGCCCTGACAGGCGGGAACGTTTCAGAAGTCAAACGAGGAGACCAGGGTCCCCGCTGCTGAGGCCCAAACTGGGGTTGCAGAATATCTGTGGAAGGATCCTGCAGGTGATGCGAAAGAGGCATGGATTTGGCTGAGCTGCCTGCAGAATCCCCAAGAAACGGGGCCCTGTCAAATGCGTAGGTGGATAAACACCCCAAATGTTAACAAAAAAAAAAAGAAGAAGAAAGATAAAGGAGAAACAGCATAGGAAGTCGTCAACTTTGCTCATCACAATTTGAAATTCCAGTAGAAAAAGGTGTTGATGTTTCAGAACTCAGAAAACTTCAAAAGGCCTAATCTGTCACTAGAGCAGAAAACGCCAATGCAAGCATCACCGCCTTTCCTTTTGCCATGGAAGCTCCTTCCAACTTGGCTGGGGGGGGCCCGGCAGGCTAGCAGGAGCCAAGGAGCCTTCCCCTTTCTCACAGGGTCCAGGGGACTGAGCCAAGCTAGGAGGGAGAGGGCTTTTTTGTCTTCCGAAGACATTTGGTTTTCAGTTTTGCAAAACCTCAAGAATTTAAAAAAATAGCTAATGAAGTTCACAAAACCTCAAATTCTACTAAGTTTACTCATTCCCCCCACTACGTTAAGACTTAGTCTTTATATCTATATATGTAGCTGTATGGTGTGTTCTCCACAAGACTTTGAACAGCACTGGCCCAACTCTCGTCAGGAAGCTGCTCTAGGTTTACAGTTGGAGAAGAGAGGGCAGCAAAGTGTTCAAGAGACCTAGAAGGTATCTTTGAGATAGTGCAGTTTACTATTTGTACATTCATATAAGAACATTTTTTTACAGTGGAAATTTTTGAACCAGTAAAAGGAGAGTGCAAAAAAAAGAGCCAAATTTTATGGTGATTGCTTTTAACCAGCTACCTCATAACAAAACTCTTGTTTCCATCTCTATAGGCGTTGCAGGAATGAATGGTTGATAGCATACTGTTTCAAGCTGAGTGATGTATATATATAGGATGATGACCTTTCAGAAGACTGATTTGGTTTTGTTCTTCCCACGACTGTGAAAACGCTCACTGTTCACTTTCCTCTGGCCACCTTGGAAGAGGTGAACATCCTCTCCTTTCCAGGATTCCTGATGGAACGGCTCGCAGGAACGAATGTGCACTCTGCTTTCCCCAGCTAGTCAATGTACACACGCAAACATTGGAATTACATTCACGTTTCTCAAGCTACCTGTTTTTTTTAGTACAAGGTGAAAGTGAGCAATGGTAACTAGAGAGATAATAAAGTCAGATTTACTAACATTTAGGAACACTAGTGAAGTAACAGTAGTTCTCATACTGCTGGTTTTCTATAGTGCTTTACCTTTCATTGCGTTTTGCTTCAGACTGGCACACCAGGCATGAGCACAGGTCCTTAACTTCTCATTTCTTTATGCACCTCCCTTTGCCTTTTTCAGCCTACTGTTTGGGTTTTTGCTTTTCTTCCCTTCTGCACCAGCCCTAGGGGACTTCCATTTTGGATCATGCGAGCATCGTGCAAGGTAACGTGCACTAGTGAAAATCACTGGGGAATGGCAGGATTCTGGTACAGCACTATCTCAGGAAGAACTGTGCTTCAACGGACCTCCATCAAATGATCCTTGGTTTTGCCTAGGAGTTTATGACTGACATTCTGACTTAGCTTAGCTTGGGGCAAGACTTGAACTCTCCTACACTAGAAGAAATCCCACTAAAGAAGTGGAATACGCTATACATACTAGAAAATTTGTTTTGTCTGCTTTTCTGATAAAATTGAAGCTACTGTGGCATGATGCCAGAAGACAAATTCCATGAGTTTTGCTGGGTGAAATCCTGATCGACTTTTCTTTTGCCACAAAAGCATCCCTGCTAGTTGAAATGGATCTAATTGCACAAATATGATGAGGAGTCCTTCAGGTGTTATCCTGCAGTCCTAGCTGTTCACCTGATGCTGATAAACATTCTTTCTGAAATGCTGTCCCACAAGCATGAAGAATTTTTCAGTTTTTTCTTCCTGCGGTAAGGTTTGATTTTCATAATTCACTGTATCGGGGTTCCAAAACTGAAACAGATGACTTCAGATTAGCATGTGACTCAGCCATTCAGTTTTTTGAATGAGCTTGTAGTGATAGGGAGAGAGAGACCTGGGTGGTTCTTCAGACAACATGTTGTAAGTACTCCAGCTAAATGCAGATTTTGAGTATTGGAATGGATTGCACAAGGGACAGTGAATTCATCTGTGATGAGGGAGAAAGTTATTTTTGACAAAGCTTTATGTATGCTTTAAGTTCTGGTGCATAAGTAGTCAGAAAAAATGGGCATCATAATCAGGTACTTAGTTTTCCATTCTTTGAATCAGAGGGAGAAGTGTTTTATTTCCAACCTTCTTTAAATAATTTCCAGGTATAAAATGTATCCAGATACAAACGCTAACACATTCTGTCAGAACAAATGGCTGTGGGCTGTACGAGTACTGGCTGGTATACAACAGTCTTGTCAAAGAGGGAAGTCTTGCTACCAGCCGGTTACAAACTTCATCTTTACTCAACAAAGTGCTCATACCCAGAAGCTTGCTCATTGGTGTCGGCAGGAGGACTTTGAGTTTAAAGCTAAGCACATGTTTAAGTGCTTTGCTAAATTGGTTCCTACATGATTTAATTGGTGTCACACAATAACTTACAGAAAGGGCCGTAAATGAAGCCCTAGGCTTCTAACTCACAGTTGGAAACTTTAATCTGGAAATTGTTTTTTTCCTGTCCTTAACGTACATGTGACAAAACAAATACCCATCTACAAACAGTTAAATGTGTTCTTAACCATTTTACAGAATTTTTGTATTCTTTCCCCACATGTGAGCTGCTGAACATGTTAGGGCTGCCAAATATTTTCAGCCTCCAAAAAGGAACATTCCCCTACCAAGTGCAACACAAATGAGCACTGCAAATGCTCAGTAAATCCCACGTTGTTGCTCTGGGTTCCAAAAACCCCCTTTTACTAGATTCAGAACAGATTTATTACCCAAAGACCTGCTTTTATTACAATTTTGTTGCATAGTTTCACATTCTATCACAAAGGTATTGATATTTTCACTTACAACAGGAAAAGAATACATCACTACAGCACTGACTTTTGAA